GTGACCCCTATGGGCTTTACAAACGTTGTGGCAGAGGCGCAGAGGAGGATGCTTGCGGTCGCAAGGGATATATTTCTGGAAAAATGCGAGCCCTACATAGACGATAATCCCATAAAAGGCACGCAGAACAAGGATGAGACGGAGGTCCAGCCGGGCATACGAAAGTTCGTTTGGGATCACCTACATGATATCAAGGATCTACTTCAGCGGTTCTTGGTATATAATATTACCGCAAGCGGACCTAAGAGCATTCTGGCAGTCCCAGAAGTGACCATACTGGGGTTTCGCTGTGGGGCCTGTGGAAGGAAACCAGACCCGGCAAAAACAGATAAGATCTCTYAATGGCCAACACCACTACGCACCACGACGGAAGTACGAGCRTTCCTACGGGTAGTCGGATTCTGGAGAATCTTTATCAAAGGGTTCGCAAAGATAGCAGAGCCCATTCGTGCAATGATTAGGGAAGGGGGGACCATGGAGTGAACGGAGAATAGGGAGGCGGCAGCCCAGACTCTCAAAGACGTCTTGTCTTCCGACCAAGTCACCTTGGCAGCGCCCTGCTTCAATGATGAAGTAGGACGGCCCTTTATCTTGGAAACAGACGGAGGGTCATTGGCTGTAGGGGGAGTACTGATACAGAGGAGCGAGGAAGGTAAGGAGAGGCCTATCAGATTTGAGAGCAGGACCCTGAATTCGGCAGAGCGGCGGTACTCACAATTCAAGAAAGAGGKCTTAGTCATTCCTCATTGCCTTAAGACTTTTCAGGCATACCTATTCGGGAGACGTTTTATCCTGATAATCGATCCGACCAATGTCGCCGGGGCGTTAAAGAACTACAAGCCTATAGACCCGACCGTTGGGAGATGGATAGGCTTCATATGGCAATTCGACTAGAAGGTTGAGCGAATTGCGGGGCTCCGAAATAGGGCAGACGGACTAAGTCGGGTTTGCATTACGCCGGAGGGAGTAGAGGATGCAGAACCAATCGACGCCTTCCTAAAATACGAAGGAGGGACCCTGGCCGTGGATAACGAGATGGCAGGCACCGCTCCTACAATGGACCATTTGCTGATTCAGACCCTAGAAAAGGGCGCGCCCGCCATAGTTGCGGAACTCGGGGAAGGATCAGTCGTCACGTTTAGACGCAAGGATGAGAAGGATTCGTGGGGAGCAATGATGGGGCCAAAGGAAGAGTTGATGGCAATGGCCGTGGAAGGGGGTCGAGATGCTGTGATGAACCGAGCAGAAACCTGGACGCAAAGGGAGCGGCGGTATCTAGTGAATCAGGCTCAGGAGGGGCAAGACACCGATCAGAAGGGACGAGAGTTCTTCCTTATAGAGATGTATGATGGCATCTTTAGAGAAATAGATCTGTTGCTTATAGGAAATAAGCAGCCTATGCAAGTCAGCCTCAGGGCAAGGGAGGAAGTCGGGAAGTACGTTTTGAGGAACGGTCACCTGTTCAAGAAAGAAGAAGGAATGATGCCTAGGCGAGTCGTGTGCGAGAGGTCTAGGCAGCTGGATATAATCCAGGCGATGCATGAGGGGCTAGCCGGAGGGCACCGGTCGTCCAAAGGGACTCTTGCAAAAATCACGCCACTTTACTTCTGGCCAGGAATGGCAGGCATGGTGGCAACGTACTGTCAAACGTGTCTGATATGCCAAGAAAGGAGTTCCGCACGTGTCTTCGAGCCCCTTAGACCTACCCGGGTACTGGGGCCGGGGCACCTGGTCCACCTTGACCTTGCGGTCATGCATGTATCAACGGATGGATACAGGTACATCTTGGATGCAAGGGATAACCTCAGTGGCTACGTAGAGGCGGTAACTTTTAAGAAAAAGACGGGAAAGGGAGTGGCCGATTGGATAGAAGACTTCTACCTTAGACACCCCTTTGTGCGCAGATTCATAGCAGACAATGGAACGAAGTTCATCAACCAGGAGGTGTTGGGCAGGCTTAAGGCGTTGTGCGTACCTATCAAGATCATCGAACCATATCACCCGGAGGCCAATTCACTAGTAGAAAGGGGGCACCAGACTTTGAAAAACACAATCGCTAAGTTGGCGGCCGATGACCTGGGGAACTGGCCTCGGTACCTTAAGCAGGCGGTCTTCTAAGAGAACATGACGCCGGAAAGGACGACGGAATGCATTCCGGCAAAACTCTGGTATGCGAGGGAGATCGATTTCCCGGTGGAAGCCCTGGTTCCTACCTGGAACAGGCTAGATGACAATCCGCACATGTCTACGAAGGAACTAATCGCCGCCCGTTGCCAACAGGTCGTGAGAAATGAGGAAGCCTTGGAGGATGTGGTCAGGCGGGTAATGGATAGTCGAATGAGGGACAAAGGAACGTGGGATCAGGTAAAGAATATCCGGAAGGAGCCGCTCCAGGCGGGAGAGAAGGTACTAGTTAGGAACTCGGCTTTTGAAAGTACGTGGTCTGGGCAGCTGGGAAGAAGGTTCAAAGGACCTTACAGGATCGCTAAACGGGTGGGGTTGAACACGTTTGAGCTTAAGGATCTTGATAGCACTAGGATAAAAGGGTCATTTCCGGGACAGAGGTTGATCATGTTTTTTAACACGGAGCGAGTGGAGCAATGGTTACAGGAGGCTAAGGACACGGAAAAAGGGGAGTTGACAACGTAAAAGACAGGCAGATGGCTATGATTCTATACCGCCTCCCTGCAGAAATGATCATGACTGCAGGGATTGTTCGTTTTRTGTTTTTTTTCATGTGGAACATGGGGTGACTGTCTGGGCTGAGTATGAATGAGGATGGGAGCATGCAACAGAAAAATTCCCTCGAGAAATGAAAGTTGAAAAAACATTCCATAAAAAAACAAATCCTTCATATTTATAAATTATCATTCCCATGTTTGTCCAATTCTAAAATTTTCAGTTTTATTTGATAAGTTTTTGTCTAAATATGAGCTTTCCCTTTCAACTATATATTTGTTTAAGATGGAATGAAAGTCTGGACGAATTTATGAAATGTTTTAATTAAACTTTCATTCTACTACAGATTGGATTAACCTATTTATGACTGAAAATCCTTACTTATATCTTCTACTTTAGATTGAATTAACCTATTTATGACTGAAAATCCTTACTTAGAATGACACTCCAATTAAAATATTTCATGAACTCATCCAGACTTTCATTCCATCTCTAGCATGCAGTTCAAATAAGAAGGGATACCCCATTCTTGGAAGGAAAGTTCTCAAGTAAGACGAAAAATTTTAAAATTGGAATGACATTTTTAAAGATGGAATGAAAATTTAAAATTTAGAATGTAGTTTTACTAAAGAATGAATATTTAATTATGAAAATTTTTTCTGTTGTGACTTAGACAATGTACCATAGTTTTTTTGTGGGGCAATTCTGTGGACTGTCTACACTGGTACCCACGTGCTGGGACAATGTGCCAGAGGTTCTAAGGGGTAATGGGACTACCAAATTTACGGGCGCAAGCAAAGGTTATGGGGAAGCCTGCAAATCGGCAAATGGGATAGGAGGGGGGTGTGTGTATGAGGGG